GAGCTGCTCCCATAACCTTCTAGAGAGTGGTTGTGCCCAGTGGAGGCAAGATGGACATTTTATATAAGGAGGGACTGCTAGCTGTGGATTTGAACTTGCATGGCCTTGGCAGTGAGCATGTATTTAGCATTTGGTGCAGGGTTGGCAGCTGGGCCTCTCTACTGATGACAGAGATGAATAAAGTCTGGCTGGAGAGGGGACAGTTACATGGACAGATCTGCATGGGACCCAGCCAGCCTCTGGCCCTTGTCTGCTCTCCACTGACCCAAAGGGCACTCTGGTATCTACAGCAGTCCTTGCAGTGGGCCCAGTAACAGCTTCTCTATTTTCTTGGCTGAGAGAGCCCTGCTCAGCTCCAGATTTCACAGGTTGAGCTCAGCTCTGCCCCTTCATCCACCTCCATGGGCCTCTTTCCATCTCAAATGTGAACCGCTGGCTGCCCTTGCTGGCTGCTGGCCCAGAGCCCTGCAGGCCTCACTCCTCTCCCACTTATTGCTGGGTGTTTTTCTCCCATGTGTGGTGTGTGCAGGGCCATACACCTTCTTTTGAAATATGGCCATGTTTTTAAAAGTGTTTTGCATTATATCTCCTCTTGTTATTTTTACCATTTAGAGAAGGGCGAGTGTTTGTTTAAAGGTTAATTAAGTGTTGTCTTCACTGGAGACTAACAGAACATTCCTAGTCTTTGTCTTCCAGGGTCTTCACGGCAGCAGGTGCTCTTCTTTCTTGATGCTGTGTAGGTTTTCTGTGGCTTTGATGAACTCGCTTCTCCCAGTTCTCGCTCCCTCTATCCCTTCTCAGTCTTTTTGTAGAAGGCTTCAGAGATCCACATTTGGCAGAAGTCTCCCATCTAGTCCCATGTCTATAGGTGCCATATTATTTTACTGATTCTAGCCCTGGCTACCCCCACGGCGTGCCAGTTAGTCACTCCCAACTCAGCACGTCCAAGATTGTACTGTACAAGTCTCCTCCAAGCCTGATACTTTATCTAGTGTGGTAAATGGCACCCTATAAAATCATATGCTTAAGCCAGAGACTTCCGTGCTGTCACAGATTCCTCCTTTGTAAAAGTAAACCTGGCACCTATCATAAACCATCCGCTCATCAGCTTTGCACCTGTGACCCACATGGGTCTCCGCTCCTTGGCTCCGTTCTTGACGGTAGTTTGAAATGGATTCATAGAAAAAAATAGAAGTTTGGAAACAATGACAAATGAAAATTAAAACATTTAAACCTTTAATGAGTCATCCAAGTAACCAAAAGAGATCCTATTTAGAATGCCCAGTGAGCCTCATGCCTGCTTTTTTTCATTTCTCTTTTTATCTATATCTCTGCCATCCAATGCTACCTATAATATCTCCTGTCTATTCTTCTTATACTGTATTAATTATTCATCTATTTTTCTTGAAAGCACTTTTCTCAAAGTCTTCACATGTAGCTTGCCACTATCCCTAAACCCAAGGGTCCCTACCCCACTCTCTTCTGTTTTATTAATGATTTATCTGGACTCTTTCTGACAGAAAGTAAACCCAGAGCCTTCCTCTTCTCTCAGTTTTCCTCTCCATTCTTACACTTTCTTAAAACCACTGACCAAAAATATCTAGGAATTGTGTAGAGTCACAGAAATATTCTTGAAAAGGTGGGGAAAATATTTTAATATATTTTTTAATTTATTGCCAAAGTGACTTCAATATCTTTTACCTTCATGCTCCTCTCTTCATACCCACTGTAACAATTACATCCCAGTGCTAAGAACAGCTAAGAGACTTGGATTTCTCCCTAACCATAAGTAAACAACCTGGCAGCCACAGCTTCGTGGATGTGGGTAGAAGACACAGATGCATGGGGCAAAGACAAAGGACAATTTATTGCTCACAGCAATCACAGTTGCAGAGTGTTGACTTTATTGTGCCATTTCCCCTAAGCCCCAATTCCCATAGGATAATGCACATGAGTCAGAAGACACCTGCACACACAGAGAGTTGCATTACAGGAGCAGGACCCTGGACTTAGGGTGACAAAGTCTTCTATCATGATCAGGAAGCATTTCTGCTCCTTGCTGGGGTTTAGAATCTGGTTTGACACCACCTCTAGAGATGAGCAAAGTTTGCCTTTATTCTGGAGGGAGGCACTCTTTCTGGTCTCTGTTGCCTTTCGATATATCATGATCATCCCTTTCAACCTTGTCTCCAATCCCACGCTGGAAATGTTTGCATAAAATGTCATATTGTGCTTAATATTGCAATAATAATGATTGGAGCTACTTTTTCATAGTAAGCAATTTGCAAGTGAATGGTCCTGTGATGAGCTTTATAAAGTACTTTGTAAAGTTATAAACAATTCTTTAAGAGGTATATCTGAAACTCTGTACTACGTATGTGTGAATATATGTGGTTTCTTTTCTTTTTTGTGTGTGTTAATGACAAAGGGGATTTTAAAAGAGAGAACTCATCTGTCAGGCCAACAAATGGAGTTGTATGTTCTATTTATTTACATTTTTTTCTGCAAGTGTCTGGGCCTTGCATAGATCAACTGTAGTTGAACTTGTCTCCGGTCAGATTCTAACATTGACCTTTTACTCTGGTTTACAGCTGGGTTTTAAACCCCCTTTCTCCTGTTCATACAACTGTCCCTTCAGGGGCTTTGCATTTTCTCCCCATCTGAGCTTTTTTAGACAAATGTCAGTTTTTTTTGTCATTAGCCTTGTGAGAATTCCTGCAAATAAATAAACAGTTTGAAGAAGGAAACCCACTCTGGGACTGGAGGCTATGAGTCAGTGTGGCGGCTGGAGGGAGTGGGAAGACTGGATGTGGGCTCAGCTTTTGAGACTTGGAGCTCGAGGGGGCTGGAATACTGCTTCCTTCCTTTGACATCTGCCATGGTGATAAGTCAAAGTTTCTTAGAAACTTTCTGTGACCTCCTGAGCTATATGGATAATTTTAAAAGTGACTTGAAATGTATTGAATTTAGGAAGGATTGCTACATTTCTATTTTTTTTGTGTGTGTATGTGCATGTGTTTATGTGCATGTATGTGCAAACATGCTTGCTACAGTGTGTATGTGGAGGTCAGAGGACAACTTACAGGAATCACTTCTCTCCTTCCACAATGTGGAGGCATTTGCTTACTGCCATCTTACCAGCCCTAAAAGGATGATTTATGCTTCTTCCTTTATATGGTCCCCATTGGAATCTTGGATGGAGAGCAGTTTTCAATTCCTAGTCTCATTCTTCTGGTAATGGAGGAAAAGATTCTCTCTGTTAGAAGTGATCATCTTTGGAGAAATATTTGCATAAACTTTGGGAAGTACACAGAGGAGCTCAGATAAACTGATCAGGCTGCCATCTTCTCTGGGGAGCAGGTGAGCAAGTATTCTGGGAACTTCTATGTGGAGAGTTTCTAGTGAGGCTGCATGGAGGAAGGAAAAGCTGACAGAGGCCTGGAGAAGGAACCCTTGAAGAATAGAGGCTGTTTAGTATAATTCTTCTCTGCATTGTGAGGTCCTGACTTCCTTCTTGGGACTCTTTAAATATGATCCCTGAAATGTCAGGGTCTTCTGGGCTATTAGTTAACTTTATAATTCAGTGGTTGCTGAAGCTAAATTAGGAAGAGTATTAACAGGTCAAAACACAATGGGCATCAGGGTTATATACAAATGAAGAAAGCCTAAAATTAGATGCAATGGAAGGATGAGATGACCCAATTTGTATCTTTTCTCCCTTCTCTTTTCTTCTGAAAAAGCTCATATGGTTTTGAGTTTTCTGGCTATCATGTAGACTTAGATGTTGTTTTGACTAGACACAGGACGGATATGTCAGTGTGCTGAAAATGGTCCACACGGGTAGGTAGAAGATTGTCAACAAGAAAGCCATAGACTGGGACTGGAAAGATGGCTCAGTAGTTAAGAGTACTTACTGTCTTGCTGAAGGTTTAGTTCTTAACATTTATAAAAGGTCTCACAACATCTATTACTCCAATTTCACTGGATCCAACATCCTCTTCTTACCTATGCATGCTCCAGCATGCATGTGGTACACAGACATACATACATTTGGACACACACATGCACACATGAAATAAATAACTTTTTTAAAAAAGAAAGCCAAACAAAGAAAAAACTTCTTTCTCCCTCATTCCTTCCCGTCACCCCTCTTTCTTCAGGAAACAAGTGTTGTATGCTGTGAGGTAGACTTTTTGTTAGTAGAGGAAGACGGGGGAACCTATCCTGGGCCTCCCACCACCATACCACAGGGGTGAACAGAGAGTCATCTGCCTCAGGTTTCAGGTAAACACAGGAAGTGTCTTTTTAGAACATCTGCAGGACATCAGGTGTGCTCAAATGTTGTCGTTGTGGGGAGTTTTGCTACGGTGATTATGCAAACAGCAGCAAGGACCCTAAAAAGTGAAAGACACAAACCAAAAGCAATTTTGAACAGAGATGGAAAATTCTCATCAGTTAGACGTGTCAGACCCAGAATGAGGCAACTTCTGCTCTATGCAGACCAAGTTAAACACAGATCATTTTGAGATCATGAGCATGCTAGTAGAGGATGCCTTATCCAAGTGGTGAAAAACGTACAGGAACTGAACCAGACCCCTGCAGAGAGGCAAGGTGATGCCATACCCCCTTTGCTCTGAGCAATTCTGTTTGGGGGTGGGGTGGGGGTGGGGTGGGAGAGAAGTGTTAGAAGTCCTAAGGAGACTTTATAAGTGACTTTTCCTTCCTCTCCCTCTTCCTGGTGGATCTTAGTGGATTCCACCCTCTGGTATCTTCCTTTCTTCTCCTCTTTAGTCTCAAGAAGGTGGACTCACTTTATACAAAGAAAGCCATTATTAATGGGCCTGTGCTGTGTCTGTAACATGGTAATGGCATGAAAAAAGATATCCAACAACTCCTGCCCTTGCATAATGCAGATACTGTTTTCTATCAAGTACATAGAGATCTACAGAGAGCTCTTTCCCTCAAGAGATTCTGCCATTCTCAGTGACTTTTTTTTAAATCAGGTAGAAGCATCTGGGACTGCTGGAGTCCAGCTCCTTGTCTTCAGGATGAGCAAACAAGGTAAGCAGAGCCTGCCCTAACAGAATCATACCTGAGTCAAGGCAGTTGAATCACACCTGAGCCAAGGCAGTACTGGTGGAGGTGTTCAATGTTGCACAAAAATGCCTTTGTAAGCCCCTAAATGCCATTCAGATATAATTGGAAATGATTTCTGCTCAACCCCAACAGTGTTCTGCACCCAATAAGTCACTGTATTCACAGTGGTCTCTTTATTAAATTCCCCCGTCCCTTCATTTATTAGCATGTAACTTGATACAGCTTTTTTGGTGACTTCTTTGTCTGTAGGTAAATAGCTCAGAGGGAATTTATTAGCCCTTCCCCCAGTCCCAGGAATAGTAGTCACCATCCTATGAGATTTGGATTAGAGTTTACCCAGTGTATTTATTGGAAATCGTGCCCCATGTCTCACACCACCCTTGTGGCAGGAGTATGATAATCCTTGTGTTACTAGGGAGGAAGCTGAAGCAGAGAAACCAATTGAGCTGTCCAAGGTTTTAAAACCAAGGTACATGGGTTTCCAGAATGCCCCTCAGAACTTAAAGGGTCAGTTCCCTGAGGTCAACTATGAAAGTATGAATTCTGCCTTACTCCACATCTCCAGGATTTACTGTTCACAACCACAATGTGTTGCTAGTTTTATGTCAACTTGAAACAAGCTAGAGTCATCAGAGAGGAGGGAGCCTCAACTGAGAAAATGTTTTCCCCAAGTCAGGCTGTAGGCAAACCTGTATGGCATTTTCTTAATTAGTGGTTGATATGGGAGGACCCAGCTCATTGTGGGTGGGGCTGCCCCTGAGCTGGTGGTTCTGGGATCTATAAGAAAGCAGATTGGGCTGGGTGGTGGTGACTCACGCCTTTAATCCCGGCACTTGGGAGGCAGAGCCAGGCAGATCTCTGTGAGTTTGAGGCCAGCCTGGTCTATAGAGCCAGATCCAGCACAGGCACCAAAACTACACAGAAAAACCCTGTCTTGAAAAACCAAAAACAACAAACAAACAAAAAAAAAAAAAGAAAGGAAAAGAAAGAAGATAAAAAAAGAAAGAAAGCAGATTGAATCACTTCTTGGCCTTTTGGCTAAGATCAAGTGTAAGGAAGCAGATTAAACAAACCATGGGAAGCAAACTAGTTAGTCATTTTCCTCCATGGCTTCTGCATCCGCTCCTGTTTCCAGGTTCCTGCCCTGTTTGAGTTCCTGTCCTGACTTCTTACTTCAGTGATGAACAGTAATGTGGAAGTGTAAGCCAAATAAGCCTTTTCCTCCCCAACTTGCTTTTGGTCATGGTGTTTCATCACAGCAATAGCAATCCTAACTAGGACATACAGCTCAGTAATGCCTAAGGAGTTCACAGATGAATAAGTGAGAACCAGTTGAATTATCCTGACCACTGGCACTTAGCCCAGTGTCTGGCATGGAGTAACACTCAATGGCTATTTGCTGAGAGGATGGGTGAATGAATAATGAGCCAACACCCCTAGGAGGATCTATCATGGTGGCCAGAGGTTCTGTGTTTATTTATCTGAGCTCATTTCCATGCTCCAGGGACAAGGTTGCGATTTTGATCCACTGTCATCTTTTGTCATTCTAGCAGAAGCCTTGCCCATTGATGCTCACCCTGTGAGCCATAGGAACACATACCTGTCAGAATACCTTTCCTCTGTAGAAAGCAGACCTGATGTGAGGCTCAAAACTCCAGGTCAATGCTCCCTCCTCCCTAGAGCCTAATATAGTAATCTCCCACCTCACAGGCGAGCAATAAAGAACTCTTGACTTGCCCCCTAAGAAGCACATATCAGCACTTCAGTCCTGGGCGCCTGAGTCTTATTTATTGCCAGCCTACTTCAGAGGTTGGCAAATTCAAGGGAGGCCTCCCTGCTTGCTCTGAGCCTTAGAAGACTGTTGATACTTGATCTCCTGTCCCAATTAATCAGATTCTTTGTGCATTCAAAAATGTCATCCCTGTCTGCATCTACGTAGTTGGAATGCTCTCTGTACAGTGTTGCCACTCTCCAGCTGAAAGGCTGATGGAAGATGCCCTCTGCTTTTACCCCATTTGTCCCTCCTGGCTCTGGAGCAAGCTCATTTTGTTTGGAGGAGAAAAACTTCTATGTTAGATCGTCTCCAACTGCTGAGGGCTTGGCCTTGACTCTCACTTTCTGGCCACTTAATGACTCAGTTTCTTTGACTGTAAAATGAAGACCTTAAGTCCTGTCCTGACTGCCAGGCTTGATTTCGGTTTTGGCTTAAAGGAGTTCTGCTTCCAGAACACATTCTAAAAGTGGCTTGTTTATTTAAATAAGCTTTTCTTGTCATTTCCCATTTTCTCCTTAAAGCACAATCCAAGTTACTTAAAAGAAAACCATTAAAAAACAGGAACAAAACAAATAACATCTGCTAAGAAGGACAATGTATATAGTAAATGCCCACCATGAGAAATTTTAATAAATTTAATAAACAGTCCCCCAAATCTCACTGCTCACTTGTCACAACACCGTAGAAGACCTATGGGTTGATGAGTATGTTAGCCCTTTTGTATGCGAGCTACCTTGGTAGCAAAGTATCCCATTGTGCAATGAGGACAATAGATGTTTTGTGAAGCCAGAGAAGTTTCTGGAGGTCAGGCTTTTAACCCTTGTAGCAGGAGAATTCTCCTATGTGTCACTACTCTGAAAGCTATAGCTTTTTATCTCTATCTCGTCCATCATTCTGGAAAGAAATTGTCAGTAGAACACAGGGCTCTGGATCGTGCACACCATTGGTCCTTGATCTCAAGTGATTTTAGACGGGAGCCCACACAATGTTTTGAAATGGAATAAAGTTATATGATTTCTGATGTTTCTCGAAAGGAAGAGTGTCTGCACATTTTCAAAGGCAAAGGTGCCAAATGCGTGCCTATGTGTCAGCCTGTAAGTTGGTAGAATTAGTATCTACATAAACAATGTAATATAAAGGTATTGGAGGTAAGTGTTAAATATGATTTTAACAAGAACAAGCACCCACAATGTGTCCCATTTCATCTTCTCAAGAGTCTTCCTGTATGTATATCCCTTTCCTATGACTTTGATTTCTTTTCACCCTTATTATGCTTTTCAAATGTATAAATTATGTAATAATAGTACATTTGAACATGTCTAGATGAACAGTCATGTTCAATTTTCTTCACAGTTTCTTTTGCCTATGGAGCTGTAATTTGGACCCTGAATCCCTTGTGGTAAGGCTTGGTCCCCAAGGTGTCACTATTAGGAGGTAGTAGTACTTTAAGGAGTGGGCTTGATGGGATGTCCTTAAGTCACTGAGGTATGCCCTTGAGAAGGACTATAGAAGATGCCCTCTTCCTCTCTCTCTTTTATTTTCTATGAGATGAGAGACTTTGCTCTACTGTGCTCCCATCATCCTTATAAGCTTCTGAGACCAAATAGTAATGGACAAGAGTCTCCAAAACTATGAGCCAAAACAAAGCTTTTCACCTTATAATTTGATTACCTCAGGTATTTGTTAATGATGTAAAGCAAGACCCTGCTTAATTACTTTAAATTAGTCATCATAGAATTTACCTATAAATGTAATATTGCATCTATTAAGAATTAGGCACTTTCCCAATAAAGTTATAATATCCTTATGGCACTCATGACAGGAAAGTCCCCTTGTTAAGATAAAGAAGTGTCTTCAGAGATGCATCAAAGCTGAGGAAATCCAGGCTGTACATGGGCCTTATAAAGCTATTGTTTTTTTTTTTTTAACTTATCAAGCTATGTGCTCAGTTAAAGAGCCTATGCTTCTGATCCTGAGTTCCTAGATGCCAACTTATGAAGAACTGGAGAGGGTGTTCAGAGAGAGGGGAGGGGAGAAGAGCAGGTAGACTGCAGCCTCCAGGTAGCACCTATAGCTGGCGCTTTGTGACTTTCATTCCTTCTATTCCTGTCCTGTATGCCATTCCAAATGTAGAGAAATTGTAGACTATCCACATCTTTGGGAATTGAGTGACATAGCTAGACATGCTGCTTTTTAATTTGGAGATTCTTTTTATGAATTGTTGCTTAAGAACTTGTGAATTTTGCTTTATGATCTCTCCATGTGTGTTTTCATATGTATTCATCAATTGGTTTGTTTGTTCATGTAACAACATCTACTGAGAACACATTAGAGAATGAGTCAGATCTAAGAAATGGGATGCTTTCCTGTGAGATTCCAGGTCCTCTAAAAGCCAGACGTGCTCAATAGTATTGAGCAATGTGACTGCTGGTGAATAGTGTTTGTGAGTTCACTGTTGCTGACTTGCAGTCTAGTGTACAGAAACTTCAACTCACTAGGCACCCCATTGTGTACCCACTGCAAGATAGGCTGAAATGGACCTCTGAAGATGAATAAGGAAGATGTGCAACCAACGGACCATCCTCATCTTGTTCCGAGGTCTTTATTTAGATGTTTATGACCTCCATTACATGAGTCATTCATTTACCCTGTATTCATTTCAGATGCTGACTGTTGCGTTGTTGACTAGCACAGGCTGAATTTCTATTTTTGTGAGTCTTACCTTCTGACATGTACTCCCTTTGATGAAATGTATATTTGCCTAGCAGGCAACATTCAAAATGCTCCCATGAGAGTACTTCATTTTTACATTGCATCATGTGGAATGGTGAAGGTGATTCCAATCTTATAAGGTAAGTCATTTTCATTTTTTGGATATTAAAGACTTCATGGATACCGCACACATTACTTTTGTCCATGGGGTGAGAGGCTTTGCTTCATCATGATGTGATGGTCAGTCTTCATTTTCAACAGGCTGTCTTTAGAATCACAGTGGAAGCACACCTCTGAGTGTTTCCTGGAAGGCTTAACTCAAGAGAGAGGGCCTTCCCATGGATGTGGGTGACACCCACATGAAACACACATGAGGCACCTCATATTTGTTCAGTAAGACTATGACTGTAAAGACAAAAAAGAAGGGCTTTGCATGTGTCTTTTAATGAAGCAATCAGAAAGTCATCAAGATGGTTCAGCATGTGAAAGTGCTTGTTACACAAGCCTGAGTTTGATTCCTGGTACCAATAGTAGAAGGAGAGAACAAATTCCCAAATGTTGCCCTCTGACCTCCCTGGTATTTATTCTCTCTCTCTCTCCTTCTCTCCCTTTCCCTCTTTCTCCCTCTCCTCCTCCCTCTCCTTCCCCCTGCCACACACACAGAGAAAAAAAATACTAATAAAACAACCAGAAAGCATTTAAAATCCCCTCATCAATTTTCCTTCCCCCACATTTCTATCCTTGGTAACAGAACTGTGGTCACCCTCCTGACCAAACCATCATTCTAGAGTTAGTCTTGAGTTGTTTGTTCATTATATCTGCCTTCTACCTCTTATCAACTCAGTTTCTCAAGTACTTTCTGAATGTTTCCTGTCCATTTCCACCATGACCTCCATTGTTGATTCACTCGTTTTTTCCCATCTGGTCTTCTCTTGATCTGTAGAGATGTCCCACCCTGTCCTTGCCTTCCAAAGAGCAGACTAAGCCAACTTTGAAAACACTTAAGCTATGATGCTTCTCTGTTCTTATCCTATAATTCAGACTCCCTTTGGCCCAAGAAAGTTTTACATGACCCTGAGTATGTAGGTACATTACACAAATATACAAGCCAAACAGTGCAAATAGCAAGTCATTACAAAATTTATTTTAAAACAATTCTTTACTATGCATATTTTGCTATTTCTTAAAGATGCATACCAATTTTTCATACTAATGCAATAGATGTGCTTATTTTACTTTTCCATAAAGAAGTAAACCTCAGTTGAGTGTATGAGGCTCCAGAGTATACAGCATCTTCAATATTTTCCAGAGTTGATACTAGCATTTTGACTCTACATTTTATAAATACACAGAAAAAAAGGCAGAACTATGTCTAGGGCCATTTCAAAAATTGTTGGAAATTCTGTCCTCAAAATTCACTTCATGATTGAAGTAAATTGAAGCTCAAGTTAGAAATTCAAGCAGAAAAATTTAAAACCAAACATTCTAATACTAAAATCCAAAGATATATTAACTTAGTACTTGCATACTGAGGGATGATGGTAGGAAAATATTGAGTCTTTGTTTTCACTAATCAAAAAATCATGTTTCTATAAGAGCAGAAAAGTATAAATAAGGTAAAGATACAACAATTCATGGCATCCAATACTCTCCAATCTCAGTAGAGGTGTTTCTTCAGACAGTGTTTGTTGGTGTGGCATGAGGGTATGCACAGTGCAAAGTGAAAATGCCTTGTGTTCAGGACTATGGGAGAATGTTACCAGAAACATCTTGGATTCATTATGCCTTTTATTTTGAATTAATTTTTGGTTGTTGGATGTTGAGAAAAGTTTTTCTATTGCCAAAATTATAAGGACTGGAACTTTCAGTTATATGACTCCACATGGGTCTCATACCTTAGGAAACTGCTCTTAAGGACTCGTTCCTCCCAGAGCACAGTCCTACCTGGCACACTGTGAACCAATATTTTCCTCCCCCACACTCCCCTTTTATCACCACCTGTTTGTTCTGAGACTCCCACTGTCCTCCTGCCTGGACACATCTGTGTTCTTCCTCATTCACAAGAGCCCAAGCGGATTCCCATTTTTCAGTGTCTCGGCGTGAGTTGCTTTTTCTGCTCTGGTACTCTCTTGATTTTCACATTTATCAGTCTTCATCAATAGATTTTCAGATTAAATGCCACATTTTCACAATAGGCACTGTTCCCTATCCACAGTGGTTCCCAATGTGCACCCACAATCCTCATTTCAGTACTTTGCAGGATACATATCACCGTGACTCCTTCTTGCTTATTTCTTGATCTGCAAGTTAGTCCCAGTAGAGTGACACTACTGTTCATTTTATCTGTATTCTCAATTTCCAGATTAGCTAAGAGTTTCAAGGACAATGTTTGATTGAAAGAATTGAAAAGATCACGGCTGTTGCCCTCCAACTTTGAATAAACCTTACCAGTTCATTGCTCAAAGCATTTGACTGGTAAGAATCCATCAACATAAATCTCTGGGCCTGGTAAGAGCATGGCTTGGGAGGTCAAATTGTTAATCCTACAACTAAGTGGGGCTGTGAGCCCAGTGATGGCTTTCCTGGCAAATCTTGTTTTATAGGTAATAAATGTTGAGTGAAGACCCCTCCAGGCTCACGGTTTTACAGTTACTGCATCCCTGCAAAAATGCTGTGATAGCAAACTTGGAGTTTTATGATAGATCCAAGAAACTGATACTCTGAGGTGACAGTTAACTTGTTAAACAAGATTGTATGTTTAAGGATACTGAGAAGCTAGGATTGGGACTCAAAGCTATCCTGACCCCAAGCCACCATCTATTGCTCTTCTGTTCTGAAAGCTATCCTTGAGAGCTAGGCATCTTCATGATGGCATCTAAGAGATAAATATGTAAGTGATGGACAGCCACAGTGTGTCTGAGGGGCTGATGTTTAGATCTTTGGTGTAAAGTAAGGAATAATCTAAGACAACCCTCCACTTCAATGTTGTTTTCCTTAAAAAAAGAGCCATTTCATTTTAGGGTTTGGAAGGACCTTCCTCAGAGAGAGCCTAATTATAGGGGCAGTGTATTCAAAATTCAAGAATGACTGATTTGTGCTTTTTAAACAGTAAAAGGAGCTCTGAAACATATTAAATTTTTATGAGGTGTGTTGCTGACTAAAATTTTTTTGAGCAAATAATCATACAAAAAAAGAGTAGACCACATACTTAAAATTAAAACCTCCAAATAAGAAAAATATTTATTAAATAAACTTACACCAAGCCACAGTGACCTTTCCAATGGGCTTTCTAAGCCAATTCAACCCGTAGAGTAATTTTAATCAAGTTGATGGTTCATTGTCAGAGAATGACAACCAGAGGTGTGGTTATTGTAGAGTGATTAGGCTTGGTAGATTAAATCTGTCACTAACAAAGTGACTTTGAGAAACCAAGTAACCTCTTTGGACTATAGTGTTTCCATCTTTAAAATGGAGACAGTAGAACACTCCTGTTGCCTCTTATGGTGATTATGAAAATCAAGACTAGTGGATGTGGGAAAATACTTGGAGGGTTTAAACATGTTAATGACATTAATAATACTAGTTTCCCAAGAATACTAAGGAGATTTATCTACGTAGCCCAAGAGATGAAGGGTTTTATTCTGAGAGATGATTATCTTGTCTTTTATTTTTGCCTGATCATCAGAGATTTTTACGCCTTCACCTAAGAATACACCACATTTATTGTTCTTGTGGTCTCTGTCACAGAACTCTTCTATCCCTTTGGGCTTAGCTGTTCTAGACTTATAAATTTTTAGTTTTTTTTTTTAGTTCCTCTTGCTTCCAGGCTTCCTGGTATCTATCTACTCATTGTTCATCTGCTCAAAAATATATCATGGCTTCTTCTTGGCCAGGCAAACTGTGGTTTTTATCTTCTCAGTTCTGCATCATTCAGTCTAACAAGGCTTTGGCTAATGGATCTGTCACACATCCTCTCTTTACACATTACATTTCCCCACTTGCTATAGCCCAAATGGTGGTAGGAGGTGGAATCTTGGTGATGAGGTCATATTAGGCAATATTAGTCCTTTCCCCAGGAACCTGCTTTTCCCTCCGAGCATGTGAAGCCTCACAAGGGAAAGGAGCATCTGTGAGAATTAAAATAGGCCTCCATGAGATGTCAGATCTCCTTGATGTGGCGCTTCTTCCAGGACTGTGGGCAATAAGGCTGTGCTGTCTATGGACTATCCTCACAGTGGCCTAGGTGAATGGAATCACCTTTTAGCCTTGGCATCTGCTGCAATCCTCATGGGATGTACCATCATTTCCCACATTCTCAGTGTGTGAAGCTCAGTCTGGCTATATCTTCACACCAGTTCTTGTGTAGTCCACCATGACTTAGCTATGTCTCTGTGATTTCTGAATTATTTTCCTGCTCTGCATTTTAGAAGTATCTACCAATTAGGGGTATAATAAATGGAAGAGAATGCCCCTGATCCTTAGATCAGGATTCCCCTAAAACCACTGAAGGGGGATGGTTATCCCACTAAAAGCCCCCTCTTGCATACTAAGGTAAGAAGTTTACAGCTCTCTTTCATGAACAAATTTAAATTTTATTTATTTTTTGTTTTCTTCATTGGTCTCTCCCTTCTTCCTTTCCTTTGTCCCTTCCTCCTTTTTGTGCTGCTGGGTATTGAACTTGGGATTTTGTATATGCTGAGCAAGTGCTCTATCACTGAGCTATATCTAAATTCTTCTTTTTTATTCTTAGATTCATTTATTCTAACATCATTTAAGCAAAACTTATATTTTTCTTTGGGGATTTGGAACCCAGTGCTCTCTTTCCAAACTTCACATTATTTTATCATTCCCTTTCCTTACGTCAATGAGCCTTCCCTCCTCACAGGTCATTCAGAAGCCAAACTAGTTTTCCATTTTACTTTTATTTATTACTCAGTCTTATGTTCCTTCATGGGTCTTCTGTCCTCATAGATGCTGAATATTGGAGATTTTTTTTGCCAGTTTTCTTGTCCCATTTTGTCCATTCACATCTATTCCTGAAAGTCTGGGGTCAATGACAGTAAGTATACATTTATGGCCAAGATCTCGATTATTTTCATTGAGTAAGTACAATGAATGAAATCATCGCTTGCTTAAGTTC